CATGTGGAAGAGTAAAGAGCAGAGAACAGCCAGGCCACTTTTCTGAAGAGAATTTAGAGTCTCACTTGCCCGACCCATATCAGGACTTCCTTGAAGCTGCAGTAAATCAGGCAGTGGTAAAGATACACACGGTGACCAATGGATAGAGTCCAGGAACAGGCCCACATTTCTATAAAATGTTGGCATAGGGCAGAATGGCATTTCAGATCAGCATGGAAAGGAGAGGCTACTCAGTAAACAGAGCCGGGAAAGGGGTTATCTGCATGAAACATACATGACACTGGATTAGGGCCAAGTATTTACCCTGAATCTCTTAGTCCCAACCCCACGCATCTATACTCTCCTCTACAATGCTGGGTGTGCACACTGTGTGTTTGCTCCATTCTGTGAGAACATTCAATTCTTCTACAGAGGCCAAGGAAAGCAAACAAGATGGGCAACATTCATCAGTTGTATTAACTACGGATAATAAGTAAGCAAGTCTTGTGAGACAGAGGCAGAATTCAGATGTGCTAAAAATAGGTAGCAAGTTTGTAATCTGCGAAGACATGTAAAAATAAATTGGGGGGGGTGGGCAGTTCACCTGGGTGGCTCATTGGTTAGGCTTCCAACTTCTGCTCAGGTCATGACCTCATAGTTTGTGATTTCGAGCCCCGCCTCGGGCTCCGTACTGACAGCTCAGAGCCTGGAGCCTGCTTCGGATTCTGTGTCTCCCTCTGTCTGCCCTTCCCCCACTCACACTCAGTGTATCCCTCTCTTTCTCTCAAAAATAAACATAAAAAGAAAGAAGAGGAATATACTGTAAAAAGGGTGGAACAAACAAGATTATTACTTACAGGTAGAAAGGAATAGAAACATTAAATCATAAATCACAGGGTAGACAGCATACCATTTAAGGGTTGACAGCCAGGTCATTATCTCCCTAAATTGTCTACCTATTGGTGACACCATTCTGACTCCTGTATGCTCTGCTTCAGAAATGCTGAAAAGGGACAGAACACGGACTAGCCATGTGGCAGACCTGTGGCCAGGCCAATCTGTCCTTGCACCTCCCAATAGAGCAAGCATTGGTTGCGAACCAGTTGGTTGCAACATTGGTTCCAACAATCCTCTATCTACTTATCCCTTACTGAACCTCAATTCTTGTCCTCATAACTATGCTATCAGAGCATAACACAAGAGAGTAGGGTCCATTGACCCTGCTTGCTTCCTATCCCAAGCAGGTTAACCTACCCCCACTCTTTCCTCTTATTTCTGACTGTATGTTTTAAATGGATTCAATAACCTTTGTGATCTGATCATCATAATTTGTCCTGAGCCTTCCTGGTCCGTGGTCTCTACAGCCTGCCTATGGCATACTTGGAGGCTAACACTACATGGGCCTAATTTCCCACAGGACACTGGGGCCAGGAATCTCTATGCCACATTTCCCAGACCCCCTTTTCAGTGGTTTTCTAGTTAGGTTCTGCCTAAAGGATGCGCTGGAGAGAGAATGGGGGGCAGGAAGAGAAAAGAAGGGATTCACTTCTGACTTCAAGTCCTCACGGCCTCCCTGTGGCCTCCAAACACCTCTGCCACCCAGGCTTCCTCCCTGCCAAACTGGGGTTTAAACCCTGAGAGTTTTCAAAGAGCCAAAACTAGTTTGCAACATGGGAAAAAGGTGCTGGTTCCAAAATATGAAACTGGAAAATCAAAATGAACAAAAGTTTTCTTAACCGTCTATAAAAGGTAAACTCGGCCAACTTGTAAACCACAATTCAACTCTTTAACACTTTTATAGAAACGTAATAAAGTTTGAATTACAAGAACCAAATGAGGAATGTACTTTAAAACTCAAAATTTTTAGACCTTTCCCCTTATTTTTTTTATATCAAAGAAGTCTATTTAGCATGGGATGGGGGGGACTATTTTAAATTGGTTGATATGACATGGAAGGGTTGGGGCTGGGGTGGGACAATGTCCCATGGTGAGGGTGGTCATAACCTAGAGGTTTATAAAGGGCCCGACAGAGCCTCTCACTCTGGATCTTTCTGTTGCACCCTCCACTATGTGCCATGTAGGTAACTTCTTCTAGCACCAGCTTATGGGATGAAGCAGGGGGCAGAGACACCAAGGGGTAGCCAAGAAAGGCTAGAGCTTTGAAGACACTTGATAGCTCACCTCTGTATGACTGTGAGGAAACATAAGGCAGGGGCCCCAGGACGGACTTGTGTCCAGTGGCCTGCCTGAACCTGAGTTTGTGGGTGGTTGCCACAAGCTTGTGTGTGCATGAAGTGGTGAGTCTCAACGACCTTGGAAAACAGGAAGGGTAGCCAGTTATCACCCAGTGTCATAGTTGTGGTGCAGACCAGAGAAGAACAGATCCGGTTTCTTAGAAGAAGGGATGGGTCAGCCTCCCTTCCCTACACTCCTATTTTTCCTCTCTGAAGTAAGCCAGCCACTTTGCATGGAGCATGTCTTCTTTCTAAACTAGGGCTTCTTGAACTTAGTGTGCGTACGAATCACGGAAAATGAAAGGAGACAAAAATACAGATTTGAACAGGTACGTGCACCCCAACGTTTATAGCAGCATTATCAACAATGGCCAAACTATGGAGAGAGCCCAAATATCCACCAACTGATAAATGGGCAAAGAAGATATATAAAAATATATATAATAGAATATTACCTAGCCATCAAAAAGAATGAATTATTGCCATTCGCACCAACGTGGTTGGAGCTGGAGTGTATTATGCTAAGTGAAATCAGTCAGTCAGAGAAAAACAAGTACCATAGGATTTCACTCATGTGTGGGATTTAAGAAACAAAAGAGATGAACATATGGGAGGGGGAAAAAAGAGAGGGAAACAAACCGTAAGAGACCCTTAAGGGTTGATGGAGGGAGGGTGGGGTGGGGGTGATGGGCTAGGTGGCGATGGGCGTTAAGGAGGGCATTTGTTATGATGAGCACTGGCTGTTTTATGTAAGTGATGAAGCACTGAATTCTGCTGAAACCGATTTTGCACTGTGTGTTAACTAACTAGTATTTAAATACAAATTTGAAAAGACAAAAAAAAAAAAAGAATTACGGAGAGTACCTATGTAAAGTGCAGATTCCCACACCTTAACCTTCATTCTGTGTAAACCACGCTTTGAGAAGAAGCTCTACTCCAGAGCTGGTTAAGAAATTCAGGTGTTAGAAACAAATTCTTTCCTATCTTCTGGGGCGCAGTTAGGGCAGACAAATGGCATTTGAAGTAACGAAAAGAAACTCCTAAGAATGAAGGAAGATCCACACTGACCAAATTGGTTTTCCTATCTAGCAAGGATTATAACTCCACATTTGGTTCACAACCTCTGGGTGTGAAGCAGACCCAGTCTCCGGAGCTGAGAATGTTGAGGGGGAGTTGAGAGAGGGGTTGGAAGAGGAGCTTTTCTTTTCTCTATTAATTGGGAGTCCCAAGGACAAAGGCCTGATTTAAACATGTATTTTTCAGTTTTTTCTGCCCCTAGCTCCAGGCCTTTGAGATCTCACAATGTGGTCAGATCCAAATCACCATTTGCACTTTGAGAGAGATTCATACCCATACCATTGTATTCTATCAAATTTGCATCTTAAGCCTTTGGTTTTATTACGTGATGAAAGGCTTTGTTTCTTATTTAAAGACAAGTTAGCCAACAAGATCGGAATAGAGAGCTTTGAGCTTTGTTTCCAGACCTGGGTCCATTTCTCTCTCCTGTACAAACCAAATAATAGTAAATCAGAGAAGGACCATAAAGATAAGTCTGCTTTCGTGATGTTAGGGAGTCTGCAGACAAATAACTCAGGAAAGATCAGAGGGGGCTGGTCTGACCTTCCTTCCTCCCAACTTGGGCTGTACAGGGCGCATATCATGGGAGAGACCCGACTGGGTGTTAGTAATCCTGCGATTCCATTCAGGATCTCAGAGCATGTTCGCAGACTGTGGCTTCCCTTATCTGCTCCCTGGTGCCATCATCTCCGCCTCCGGCCCCTCTCCCCTCCAGCGTCTTCCTCCCCCATCCAATCCAGTCTGCCACAAGGCTGACAGCCCAGCTCAGAGTTTCTGCAGTTCAGATTACCAACATCTAGAACAACTAGTGAGGAAGAGGGAGCTCCAGGATCGACAGGTAGTAGAGGGTGGGGTCAGGGGAAGTCCTTTTCCTGATGAAAGAGCTAGACAAAGCCTGTAGAGTCTCAGACCCAGAGCTGGAGAGGAGGTGACGACGGGAGAGAGGGTGTCCCAGATGCCAGGAGAGTCCTTTGTCTTTATGGCGATGGTGACAGGCTCAAAGTACGTGGAAAATTAGGAACGGTCACAGGAAAAACCCCTCCAAATTAACACAGACAGATCTTGCAGGGGAAAAAAGTGAAAAGAAAATCAATAAGGATGGTTTGGACGGGTGAAATGAATAATTACAGTTATTTATGTGTCCTGCTCACTCTTCATGCTTCATTAACATGCAGCACAGTCTCTGGTGTGACTGTCATTAAATGCATCAGATTGGGCAGGGGCTACGTTTTTACCTGATTAGCAAAATGCTCACATTTGTAAACTAGGGTCCTCACAGTAGAGTCCTTTTGGCAAGATGGTTCTCGGCTCAAAAGTTAAAAATAAAGGAAAACAAAAAGGAAAGAAAACACACACACAGGCGAGCGCGCGCACACACACACGCACACACAAGCACACAGAAGTCAGGGGAAACTTGCCCCCCGCCACCGGCCAGGCTGACACAAAGGGGTTAAAAGTCGAGTGGAAGTCGAGCTTGAAGGAGCAAGACGGGGCCTCTATATAAAGTTGAACAAGTATCTGGGGCCCGCACAAACCTCCACCTTTTTTGGCCTCCACGGCGGCAACCCCAGCCCCTGCTAACGTCCTCCGCCTGTGGGACCAAGTGGGGAAGCTCACGGTTGTGGCGGCCAAGGAGAGGGGCCGGCCTTGCCAGGAATATAGAGGGAGGGGAGGGGAAAAAGCCCGATCGCCCACCCCGCTCCCGGGCGGAGGGCGGGGGCAGCGCGTCCCGCGGGCCGAGCGCGTCTCGGGCTGTGCGCATCTCTGCGGAGCGGCGCGGGAAGGATGCTGGTCGGCAGGGGCGCGCGCGCCGGGCGCGGGATGCCGCGGGGCTGGACCGCGCTCTGCCTGCTCAGTCTGCTGCGTGAGTACCGGCCGCGCGCCCGGGCGGCGGGGAGGGTCCCCGCTCTCCCGGAGCCGAGCGCGCAGAGCCCGGGGGCGCGCAGGGAAGGGACCCCCCCCCCCCAGCTGCCCCAACCCACGCCCCGCGCCCACGGCGGCTCCCGGCTCCGGTGGGACCGGGGCCGCCCTGGGACCGGCGCACCACCTGGGAAGCGCTGGGGTGGACGGGGAGGCAGGGCGGGCGACCGCGCCGCGAGTGTCAACCAGCCCAGGTGTAAACCGGGCGGAGCTCTCTGAGCTTCCCGGTAGTGGAACAGTGCGACTCGTTCGCACTGTCTCTAAAGTACAGCGCTTCGAAGATGCCAGAGGCTGTGGCCAAAGGTCCGGAGCGCAAAGATGGAGCCAGAGCCAGGAGAGGGGAGGACAGAAGCAGGAAAAGTTTTGCGCCTGGGGGTTGATTGAGAAAGCCCAGGCCGCAGCGGGTGCTGGGAAGAGGGCGCAGGCGCCCACCGACCACCACCACCACCACCACCACCACCACCACCACCACCACCGGCACTGGGCGAGCCCGAAATTTAAGGATGGGAGAGAGGCCAACCTGGGACAAGGCCCCAGCTCCAACGCCCAGGAGGCGCCGGAGGCAGGCTGAGTGAGGTGACCAGGGGGTGTGGAATGAACAACAGTCCGGGAAAGAATGCTTACATTTAAGATCTGAAAGCTAAATTACAACTCCCTCTTCCGACACCCACACCCACTCCCCTGGAGAGAAGGTGGCAGCGGATGGGGTCTGTTGTGCGCCCTGCCTCCGTCTCCCCATCGCCCCCCCCCCCCCCCCGACCCTGGCACCAACTCCAACCTGTTACATTTGGGGGCATTCTTCCTCTTCCCCCTCCAAGTTCTAGAACTAGGGAATATGTCAGCAGGCTCGTGGACACCCTTCCGCTCACCCACACTTGCTCCTACTTCTTAGGATCTTGCTCTCACTTTGGTAAAGAAATCATAGACAGTAAGTATTTATTCTTAACTGCTTTCATTTGGGGAGAGCATTCTCTATCTCCTCTCATTGCCTTTAGAGGGTTTTAAACATTGTAAGCTGTTCTCCTTTTTGCTCAAGATTCTGCTTCCAGCCCTCTAGGGCCCCCAGTTCCCTACACGTACTCATCCTACAGGCCACCCACTATGGCCCCACAGAGAGACCTGGGCCTGCCAGGGACTCCTTTGCTCTCAGTGTCCTCTGGTGTCAGCGTTGGGCCCACCCAGTTGGAGAGAGACTCCGGGCTTGGGAAAGCTCTAAGTTAGGCTCTGAGTTGACCAGTTCGGCAGCCCCAGACCTGCCCTCTGGGGCAGAGAAAAAGCTGTCATTTCAATGTGGAAACACTAGGATAGGGGAACTCCCCTGGGTGCTAGACAGCACCCTCATAACACAGTGGAGCCGATCAACAGCCGATCAGATGCTTCACTCTCCTTTACACAGCTCGTGATGACCTGGTCCTGGGCCGAGTGAGGCCCACCCTTTTTTTATTTCCTCAGCTGGCCAGTCTCAGTCTCGCCTTGGCTCATAGCAGGGGGTGGGGGGAGCGACTTAACTCCTGCAAAATCTGGGCAGATATGCCGAGAATCTCACTGTCTCAGCTTTGGGGGTGACAGCTGGGACATGGGTCCCGACCCTCAATCTTGCCAGACTACTTGAGCCAATGTGTAGCCTTTCGTCTTGCCTGAGAACTTTCTAGGGTTTGTTTCTTTCTTTAACACTGGGAGTCACTTTCTGTCCTGGTCTACATTGGGGGATAGATGAGTGAGTGACTGTACCTTGAAACGCTGACCGAGGGACATTTGCAGGAGTTCGTGTGATTATTGCAAACTTTAGGGCACCGGGGGTCTTCTCATCATGTACACTGACAGAGGGCTTTGTTCTGGGAAGGTCTTTCTGTGCTCTGTGAGAAGTTGGCGTAAAGATGGGCACAGCGGTCCGACCAAAAGTAGACTCTTTTTGTTGCAGATGAAGCTGCTTTGGGGGGCGACCAGAGTCAGAGTGAGGCGCCAGGTAGCACTCCCCTGCCACCAACAGGTAAGAGAAGCCTTTCAGGTTATTAGGAAGCCCCATTTGTGGGCCTCCGGGTATCTGTCCCCTCCAAGCCCTCCATGGCCTATCTCCTTCCTCCCTCTGTAAGGACACCCCCCCCAAGGCCCGCCCCTTCACATTCCTCTTCTTCCGTCGTGCATGCTGACCCCACACCCATATCCTGTCTGGGGCTACGTGTAAGAGGGGAAAAAAGAAAAGGGAAAAGAATTTTATCAGATATTTTCCAGAGGAGAGAGGACTCCACCCTTTGACTCTCTGCCATATAGCGACCGACGAGGAGCAGCCTTGGGGACCTCTGACTAAGTCAGCGGTCCCCAGTGGTCCCCCTTGTCGGGCCAGTCCAGCTGGCACAACCTTTGCAAATGCAAGTCTTCCACGGCCTTTCCGTTTGACGGATAAAACACTTCTGGGCATCTTTTTCTTATCCCTTTAGCTCCACCTCCTGGGCCTCCTTGTTCACTTGTCCTCGTGTTCTTCCTACTTTGAGTCTTTGTCTCCAAAAGCTCGGGGCAAGGAGTACCAAACTGCAGCAGATAAACTCGGGCGCAGAGTCTTACAAAAACAAATAAAAAAGTAGGAACAAATTCCACTCCGTATGGTCTCACTGCCTGATTTCCTTTAGACCCTGGGCAGGAGGGCCTGGGCTCACTGTCAGGGCTGGATGGCTATTCGGCTCCACCCTCGGGGGGCCTGGCCTCCCTCTCTCCTTGACTTTGCCTGATCTAACTTAAATGGCCCCCAAGTGTGGAGAATTCAGAAGGTGAAGGTATGGAAACAAGAACAAAAACACCACCCTCCAAAAGAAAATGCTCCAAGTTGCCAGGGCAGAATTTCCTATTTGTCTGGGTCTTGACTTCTCTAATGAGAACATTCTCTTCCCTCCTCAGCTACGAAATAAAAACACATTATCTACAATTTTTAGTCTCCACGGCCCCTGACTTTGCTAAGGAGAAAGATGCGTGCGTCTTGGGAGAGTGAGAGGCCAATGAACGGGGGACGGGCCAAGGTGGACTTCTTAGCACCTGCACTCTGGGGCCCACCCCGGGGACCAATCGCTTCCCTTTGGATGTAAAAGAAAAGGCCTTTGGGCTTAGTTGGCTTCATCTGCTTCTTCCTGGTTTGGCGGGGAAAGACCCCAAAGAACCCACAGCTGGTACCTTTTAGTGGGATGGCACTTCTAGGTAGCGAGTTCTGTTGTTTCAGAAAATGCCTTAACGAGTCTCTGGGTGAAAGTAACCTGGACCCCTGGACGGGCCTTGGAGGTTCAGGGGCAGACAGGAGGTTCATTGCTGAGCATGGTAGAATACATCGGAACTTTGTGTTTGATGGGCCTGAGAGACACTGGCTGAGGGAATGCAGAGCCCAGAAGGAGTAGAGAGAGAGGAAGGGAGGTGCCTGGACCATCAGAGAGGCAGTGGTGCCTGAGGGTGGAAAAGACCCAGCGAGGAGAAACTCCTTACGGTGTGGCATGCATGCTTAGCACAGTAATGTCTGGAATTTCAGGCTTATGCCGTTGTCTCTTCCGGGCTGGGCTGTAATCTGGCTCCGTGCTCTCAAACCTTTGATAAACACACGCCCGCCTGGTGTTAGTGTGCTTTGCGGGGAATAAAGGAACAAGTCCTCGGCTGGCCTACGGTGAAGCAGAACCACAGTGCCTGAGCACAGGGAGGCACAGAGTTGCAGAAAGGGAGTCAGTGGCGATTAGGGGAATGAAGGAAGAGGTGACTGGGAGAAAAGTGGGCCCCCAGAGAAAGTGCAGGAGACCAGGCTTCCGTGGTAAGTGGATTGGGTCCAAGACAAGGTATTTGAATATTAAAGAGAAGTCAGAGTCCGCTGTTCACTCAGGCCACAGACGCTTGGTTTACGCTCACGTCTCAGTGAGCCACTAAACCATAGGAAGGCATCAGCCCAGTTCTTTGTTCTGGTCCAAGATGCCCAGACTCGGGGAGACCTGTAACAAGGATGCTTCCTAAATGTTCCCGGAGAAGATGGGTGGCTCACCACCTCCCAGAGTAGTTCATTCCATTAAAAAAAATAATAGTTAACCCCCCCCCCCCCCGCATTTTAAGCCTTACTTTGTGTTACAATGAAATTAGCTTTCTTGAATCATCTGATCATTAACTTCTATTCTTAATTAGAATTGGCTAATCTTCAGTGGCTTCTAATCTAATTCTCTTCTTTAAACTACCATGGAATTAATATGATCCTTCTTCAAGACAATCCTTAACGATCTTTCTGGCCCCACTAGATTATAAAGCTCCTTGAGGACAGGGATTTGTTGAAATTGTAATGACCTTAACCCCAAACCTCAGGAAAGAATCTTCTTTTCTTCTGTGCATGGTCCTTTGCACGTCATGGGTGCTTATGACCAATACGAATGAATACATGCATGAAATGAATCTTGAAGAAAGTTACTTATTCTCCCTCCCCAAATTCTTCTTTTCTGGATCAGAGGTTAGCAAACTTTTTCTGTCAAGAGCCACATAGGAAATATTTTAGACTCTGGAAGCCATATGTAGTCTCTTAGGCATATTCTACTCTGTTTAATTATACAACACTTTAAGCATGTAAAAGCCCTTCTTAGCTCCCTGGCCGTACAACAGACAGCCCGCGGGTGGATTTGGTCCGCCAGCTATTTGCAGACCCCTGATCTAGATGAAATAACTCCTGGCCCTCAACCATATGACTTGGTTTCTAGAGCTCTCCTAATTCTGGTTATCCTTTCACGGACACTCCCTAATTTAACAAACTCCCTCCTAAAATACGGCATTGAATGAGACCACGCTACATAGATGTGGTTGGTGTGAACATGCCTGACATGGTCGCCATTCAATCTAAGTGCTTTTTCTGAACTCAGAGGATTGTGCTAAGCACCCTGAGAAAACAAACGAGTATCAGAGATGTTTCCGGCACTAAAGAAATTTATAATGTAACTGAGGTGACAAGACCTATAGTCAGGAAACAGAGTTTATGATTTTGTGCCAGATAAGTGGTGGAGAGATGTGTCTCAGGGTCTCTGAGAAGCAGAAGGAAGGGGCCCTATACTAAAGATAACTGCTGTTTCTTGAGCGTTTACCAGAGAGGCTAACTGCTTTATGCTTCTTATCTCCTTTATTCCTCAAAACAACTAGGAGTTAGGGAATATTTTTATTCCCATTTTATAGGGAATGTTTAGAGAGTTGAAGAAGCTTCCCCCCAAGCCCTCACAGCTAGAACATGGTAGAGAAGCCTCTGAACATGGTCTGACTGCAGAGGCCAAGCTCTTTCTTCTGAGGTTTCCTTCTCTTCTCAGAAACATGGGCTGTGGGTTCCCAGCAGAGTCCAGCAGGCTTCTTCTTCCTGCTACTGTATCCCTGTGGGCTGAGCCACCCAAGATTTTCTGGAAGAAACTCCTCTCAGGCAGGGCACCAGAATTGAAAGGAATGGTGGAACGGGGCTAGCTGGCCATGAGGAGATCAGGAAACAATACCAGCAAAAAAAAAAAAAAAAAAAAAAAAACACACACACAAGAAAAAACAAAAAACAAAAACAAAAAAAGAAAAAGCAAAAAAACCACAACTAAACCTAAGGGGGTCTTTGGAAAGCAAGACTGAGCATAGGAGAACATAGGCATTTAGCTATTTAAGTAGCAGAGCATTCTGGATCTCTGAGGATTTGTAAGCCCTCTTTCAGGATGAAAAGATTCTCCAATTTACTAATTGTAGGTAGGAATCTCTTAAACATGTATTACATTATGCCTTTGCTTCCTCCGTGTACCCCTCAGAAATAGGACTTTAACTTTCATGACTCAGATGGATCATGAAAATAATTTAGTTATGGTGCAGCTCAGTGACTTTGTTAATGCTTACTAAGGTGTATATATTTATTTCCTCCTACTGTAAATGATTCCAGACCAGTGTGTGTGTTTTTTCACATGTATTTATTTTTTTGAGAGAGAGAGAGAAAGAGAGAGTGAGCTGAGAAGGGGCAGAGAGAGAGGGAGACACAAAATCTGAAGCAGGCTCCAGGCTCCGAGCTGTCAGCACAGAGCATGATGCGGGGCTCGAACCCACGAACCGGGAGATCATGACCTGAGCCAAAGTCTGGTGCTCAACCGACTGAGCCACCCAGGCAGGCATCCTGTGACCAGTGTGGGCTTTAATACTCATGTCTGTTTTTCATTTATCTGTTTCTTCTTTTTTAAACTGTCGTTTCTCCTTGATGTTTGCTTCTAAGAGTCTCCAATTTTTAGCTTTAACTAGGATATCAGATAACCAAGCTTGTTAGAACTTGGTGTAAAACAAGAATAATTGCCTCTGAATAAGTACCTGTAAGTTAAATGCAAAACTTTTACTCCATGAATTCTGTGACCTCTGTTTGGTGTTTTTGGCTTCTTATCCTTATTCCGCTAACTTTCTGACATCTTGTCTCTTCCCTTTGCCCCAAGCTCATGAGTTAGGATCAAATAGGATATCTAGAGTCACATAGGGTACTTAGGGGGACACAGTTAATAAAGGTAGGGTGGAAGGTAAACAACATAAGATGGCCTTTTGTTCAATTTTAAATTGCACTGTAAACGCCCTGTTGGGTTGGGGCTAACGGCTGTTTGTCTGGAAGGCTCCAGTCTAGAACGGAATGGAGTGGAGGTTTCGTTGATCGTCTCCTAGAATCGAACTGGGAAGCCGCGATTACTCCCTTACAGAGTTGGAGAACAGAATCAGATCAAGAAAGGTCAGCATTTGATAGTTTAATGCCTTGGATGGGGGCGAGAAGCTAGGATAGACAGAGACACGTGGTCGGTCTCGATTCTTATAAATGTTATTCCTCCAAGGCGCAGTCTCTTCTTGGGAGCTCCAGAAAGGGAGCCCTAGAGACTGTGAAATTAAGACACTTCCTGCCTGCTAGCCCCTACACCGCAGCACCCGGTTGGATTGGTCTCCAGGTCTTCCACCACCTTGTTCCCTCGCTCTACACCCCCTCACGTATCCCGTCACCTAGCCTTGCCTTTCTGCCCTCCCTCTTTGACCTGTTTCTCCAGGGTCTCAGAGGCTTCCTTGCTCACAGCGCGCTCAGGGCCATGCATCTGAGGTTGGGATTTCATTTTCTTGGCAGGTGGATCGTGCTACCTGCTCCTCAGCGTTTGGCCCGGTGGTGGGTGGGAGGTGGCTGCGGCAGCTGGGAGCCCGACCCCAGCGGGTCGGTAGCTGGCCTGGGTCCAGAGTCGCTTCACTTCTCTGGCACAGGCCCTCCGCCCTCCGAGCTAGCAGCAGGTCTCCGCTCACATCTGGAAGAGTTCAGAACTGTTTGTCTGGGTGAAGGAGGCCCTGGGGAGGGGCTTCCAAAGCATGACATCACCTCAGTCAGGCGCAGCTTTCTTTGGAAAGCGCAAAGGGCTGGGTCAGCCTGAGCCAGATAGGATTCCCAGGAACTGATGTGTTGGAAGGAAGAAGAGGAAAGGGCGGGCAGGAAGAATGATGTCAACGGGGAGTTCCAGTGGTGCCTTGGAATGGTACCTGGGGAGGATGATCCTTCAGGTCAGTATCCGCCTGCTCCCGCCACCCGCCCCTTGTGGTGAGTTCATAGCTTAGGGGCGGATTGCTGAGCGGGTCCTGTCTAAGGGCCCGGGGAAGACTGGATCTGCTTTCCCACCTATTTCATTTTGATAAACCCACCTCCTGCCTAACCCAGGTAGGAGCCCATCCTTTTCTCTCCAGAGGTGCGGAGGATGCATCCTGGTTCTTAGCAGTTTCGACTCTCTGACCTTCTTGCTACTTCTACTCAAGAGTCAGCTAAACGTCAGTGGCCCCAGTGTTCCCTGCCCTGAACTACGGCCTCCCCTCTTGGCCAAAGCCTTGCGTGATTCAGGCTCTTATCTCTAAAATGCAGGTGGTACTATCATTTCATCCTCCTGCTCACATGCACATAATGTCAAGATATGATTGTTGTATTCACCATTTATATCCATCTACTTGCAGCAGGTGGGAAGGGAGGCAGATGTGGGACAGTGAGACTTGTCACTGCTTTTAGGGGAAGCATTGAAACTAATGCCTAACTTCCCTCTTGATGCTGAGGGAAAGAAGAGTTGTCAGTCTACATTGCCATTTACCTGGAGACCTCCCAAAATTACAGCTGTAGATCTCAATCAGGAAAATTGAAAGACAAGCTTTAGGGTGGCCTGGGATCCTCAGGGGCCTTTCCTTGAGGGTGGTACTGTGGGTGCTGAGCTCTGGGTACCAAGTCGATCCTATAGCATTTATGGGGCCCAAGCCAAGAATGGAATAGAGGCCCTCATACCATATGTCTAAATACTTCAAAGTTACAGTCAGGCCTGTGAGCTTATAAATGAAATGTCCTCTATCCCCTTACCTTGAAAAACATACCCAATGGCCACCTGGAAGGCCGGGTTTGAATTTGGGACCCTCTCAGTCTCAGAATTCAGTGCCACCGTGTGGCTGAGAAGGAAGAGATGGCCCTTGGCTCCCTCCTGTCCCGCTTCTCTTCTTTTTACCCCCAACCCTGGCTCACTGTCGGGGACCTTGCATGCATGCAAGGGACACACTATCCGCATGCTTCATGTGTACACGTTCTCCCTGAAACTGCCACCTCTTGGCCACCCTTGTGCCTTGGAGGTCCATACCCTGGTACTGCGGTTCACCCTCAGAAGGATGGACTGGGAGAAAAGGCCCCATGAGGATCCTCAAGTGAGAAAAGAGGCATTTGGGCAAGAATTTCTAGGAGTTCTGGTCCCCAGTGTATGATCTAGACAAGAGGGTACATCTCTGTTGGCCCCATGGACGCCTCATGGTTGGGAGCAGGGCAGAGTAGGAGGAGGAATAGAATACAGACTCTAACGTTCAGGGAAGTTTCTCCTTTCTGGATGTAAGGATGTCATTGATAGGTACCCCCAGGAAACACAGAAGGACAAGGACCCTCATGAAGATCTTCAGAGAATAATTCAATCCAGGAATATTATACTATATCAATTTAAGTTATTTGTCATTAATTCTCCCAAAACAATCCAGGTAAGGAAAGACCCTCACTTTAGAGGTTGGTAAACACACACACACACACACACACACACTCACACAAGCACATTAAACTACATAGTTATTGGAAAAGGCAGAACTAAGCTATCTTCCTACATTTGATGAGAAACCAGGCCTTAAGTTCTCTAGATCATCCACTGGTCAGAGGTTCTTAAAAGAAATCGTGGGGTCACTTACTGAGTTTCTCAACAAAAGGCAAGGAGGATGGGTTTGCAGGCCATGAGGAAAAGACTAGAGTTTGGGAATGGGGGAGTCTTGGACAGATAGAAGATTTTTAAGGGGATTGAATAGAGGTGGCATGAATCTAGTGGCTATTCCCAGAGTATATGAATGGAACGGCTGGAGGGTGACAGAAAGAGAGACAGACACGTTAAAAAGGAAATCTTCCCCCATACTTTAGATCTTTGCAGTGTTTACTCAGATATAACTTGATATTTTAATATTCTATTTAACATGTTCTAAACTTGCCTCGTATTCTCATGTGGCTTTAGTTTTTTTATATTTCTTTATTTGTAATGATTCTGGTACGTTAAGCTCATACATAGGTTATCCCATTGAAATTCATTTAGCTGTTTGCAACTTTTCCCTCCTGCAAATGGTACTATACTGGACACTTGATGCGTACAAGCTTTTCCTTCCTTATCTTCTTAGGGAAAATCTAGCAGTGAGAAATTCTCCTGTCCAGGAGGATAGTCTTGATGTCATGATGTCCTAAGTCTCCAGGATGATTTAGGTTCTGACTTTTCCTCCTTGTTTCTCGATAGCCTCTGGGTTCACAAATACACAAACCAGGACCACTGTTACCACAGAGCCAGCCACCTCACATACAAGTTCAACTGTTTCCACAAATGTGTCCAGCCAGGAAGCCACCACACTAAGTCCTCTTGGAATTACCATGCCATACCCTGTCTCTCAAGACCGCAATGGGACCGCAACAGCCATCTCAGGTAAAAAGTGTTTGTCGCGGGCCCCAGAAGGATGTGGCTGGTACTTGGGTAAAGCATTAGGATGCCTGGAGACCTCCCTTAGCCCTGCCTTCCCCCGCAGATGGAAACATACAAGTCCTGCGAAGCATGGTGTGTGCATCATGTTTAGGGTGCCCTGAGGTAGACTCCTGACAATTCCTGTAGTGATGGCTTTCTCAGGCCAACACTTTGGCTGCTGATCCTGACCAGTAACTCTCCTTGTACCCTGTTTTCATGCTGAGTTCAGCTTAGTGATAAAATAAGGATCAGATGAGGACTCCCTAGACATCTCTGATCTCTTCTAAGTGAGAGAAAGTATGTACAGGTTCACACTGGTTTTTGACTTCTTCGGGGTGAACCAGATTCCAGTTCAGCATCAGAATCCTGAAAGCACCTCTCAGTGATCATTCTCAGTGATAGCCATGGTTCCAGTAGCTGGCTTGAAATGAGTTTGGTAGGGGTTAGGATATGAAGTAACTCTTAACTCCTGCGATTCCCTTTTCTGGTTTGAAGTCCGGGTCAGGATCGTTATCTGTAAAGTTTTAATTCAAGACAGTGAACTGAGATGTGTGTAGGGGTGTGTGTGTGTGTGTGTGTGTGTGTGTGTGTGTGTATGAAAACATGTGCATGCAAAACATGTGTTTTGGTCTATTTCAGAGACTGCGGTCAACTTCACTTCTACCTCTGAGATCACCCCAGTGCCTGGAACGGGGAACTCTTCTGTCCAGCCACAGACCTCTTTAACTGTCACAGCGTTTTCCACCACAACCAACTTTTCAGCTTCAGACATGACTTTGAAGCCCAGCATGCTCCCCGGAAATGTTTCCGATCCCCCATATAACAGCACCATCAGTGTGACATCCTCCACTGAGCCTTATGCATCATTTTCTCCCACCCCAAGTACCATCAAGGTAGGTGAATTGGGCCAAAAGTGGCAGATTGCCCCCTCGCTTCGTATGTATGCAAACCCTCTCCTCCCCTCAACCTCTCCTCATCCCAGCCAGTCAGATTTGGGTCATGTAAGAATTAACATGGAAAATATGCAGCTTAAATATTGCTGGCCAAGATAGAAAGGGGAAGGGAGGAGTGGAGACAGGTCGCTGACGTATGCTGTGGGTATTTCATTTCTAGGGAGTTGAAAGTAAAGGGGGATTCTTGGGGGTCCGTGCAGTCGGCTGTGGTTCTTTCTAGTACCTCTTGGTCTGGGCTTTGACCAGGGCACCATTTCCCTTTGAGCGTATTTGGAAACCACTCTCTATTTAATGGGGCGACTTGCAAACAATGTTTAGGACCACCACCATTTCCTGTAGATGAGAGAGTTTGGTGGTATGTCAGGTATAGAGAAGCAGTGAAGAACTGGGCAGACCAAGGATGGTGAGCTCAGCCTTGGGGTCTGTGGCTGTCAACAGTTTGGGGCAGGAAGGGTAGAAAATATGAGGGTGCGTGGTGCCTGGGGGCAGGCTCAAGGGACCTGACTGGTTTCTGTTTTTAAAGGAACCAGAATAGGAATCTGGAGAGCCCTGGGGACCAGGAGGAAAATGAGTGTCACCAGGATCAGCCTGGCCACCCCCATTACCTTAGTGCTTATATGGCCTCACTGCATGTGTATGATCCACGGCAGGGAGAACAGCCCCAATGGGTAAATTTCGTCCCCTCTTCCATTTCTGCACCAGCCAAGCTCATGTTTACCAAGATTGCAAATAGCTACTTGTTGGCAAGCCCAGGCTGGTAACAAAAGTTTTGATATCTGATGTGGATGGGTGTAAGAAGGAGGAAGAGACTAACACCAATTTATACATCTAGTCCCCTGCCATTTTTAAATTTCCTTTTTCCGAAAACCTCTTAAGAGAGTACCCCCACAGAAATCAAACTGGACAAGAGGTGGGGGTAAAAACGAGGGGCAAAGATACTGGCTTATTTACTTTGTTTTTGTTTTACTACAGGGAGAAATCAAATGTTCCCGAGTCAAAGAAGTGAAATTGACCCAAGGTATCTGCCTAGAGCTAAATGAGACCTCCAGCTGTGTAAGTCAAACTCCCCTCCACCTCACCCCTATCCTTTCCTCCTCCCTCTTCTCCCACAATCCCTTCCGAACATCCTTAAGCCCTCTTGGACTGGACCAGACTTCAGTGGGGGTGGGGAGAACTTAGCTGGTCAGGCGCTTTCAAATACAGAGCTTTGGGTTTAGGGAGTAAGAGGCCCCATCTGGCGGGCAAAGAAGGCAAGGACAATTTTTTTAAAATTGAGTTAACTTTTTCCCCTCCTCTGTAGTACATTTAATATATACACGTCAGACTTAAGTTTGCTTTCATGTTAAGAAAGTCCTTAGTGAAATACACACTAGTGACCTGAAGTGCCAATTTGCTTATTATTTATATATAACTCTTTAATCCGTTTAGAATTCTTTTGTGCTGTAATGCCACATTTTCCATATAACCGTCTTTCCTCACATTGTTTATTGAATGATCCCCTTTGTTGACTGGAATGCTGTTTTTTAGCTTGTATTAAATTTGTATTTGTCCCAGGGCATATTCTACAGAGATATTTTGTTCAGTTTGTCATTTTTTGCCTATTTTAAGTTTTTTTAAATTATTCTACTTTTATATTATAGTACTCTTTAATATCCAGCCATGCAGGTCTTGGCTCACTACACCATAAAAAGTTTATTTTTTTGTCTGTTGTTTTAGAAAAACTTTAGAAACATCTTGTCAACATTAAAAAAAGAAATATTAACATTTTCATTGGAACTGCTCTAAAGTCTCTCTCTATTTTTCTGGTCTTCTCTTGTATCATTCAGCATATTATCTTTTTAGTTTTTAAAAACTAAAAGCTAGTTTGTTTGTTTGTTTGTTTGTTTGTTTTTCCGGTAGGCTTTATGGACTTTTAAAGTTTATTTATAATACAGATTTCCCATTAAATATTCTAATCGATCATTGCTGGTATATTATAAAGTTGAAAACTTCCAACTTTTCAATATACGTTCCCAACATATATTGAAAGTTTTGAAAATTTATCTTAGGTTTAGCCATTTTCTTTAACTTACTTGTTAATTTCAAGACCTCTTTACTTGATTCTTTTTTGTTTTCAAGGCAAGCTCTCATGTTGTCTGCCACCATACATTGTTTTTCTCCTCCTTTTTAGTAGTTAATGCCTTGTTTAAGTTTCACATCTTATTGCATTGGTTAGACCATACAGCTCGGCATTAACTTTGAATGTTGATAGCAGACGTCCTTGCTTTGTTTCAGTAAATCCAATTTCCTGACAGTTACAGTTTCCTCGACGAAGAATGGAATGACAGGACTCTTCTTATTCACTTGTAGGAAAAAACATTTCCTTATAAGTTGGGAATCCATTTAAGGGAACTGTATGTGTGACGTGTGACATGTACACACGCACATGGGTAGCCTATAGTCTGTAGAGGGCATTCAGTTATTTATTTTGTCCATTCTGACTGCCCATATCGTACCTGTGATTATCAGTTGGGTCATTCTGACTCACAGATCTTTTAGAATTATGCCTAAGGTCTTTGTTTAGCCCAGGACTTCTAAAAACAATGGGAGTTGCAAAGACATAAGTTCGCACAATAGGATAAGTGCACGATGCAAAATAGTGAACTTAAACATGAATATACAATGTACAAGTAATACAGGGATTGCAAAGACAGAGGCTCACACAATAGAACAACTAAGTGCAATTTGCAGACTAGTCAACTTAAACATGAGCATACAAAGTACAAGTAATACTCTGTGTGTTTCTGATACCTATTTTCAACTCTCCTTATTAAAAAAAACATCGCCAAACCCTTTGTTAATTATAGCTTAAAAAACGACTTTTTTTTTTTTTTTTTTTTTTTTTTTAGTAATATCCTGGTGAAGCACTTATTTTCCTGTGTATCACACTGGTCTGTGCCAAAATGCTGCTTCTGCATGCCACTGATTTAGAGCCAATTGCAGGGCAATCTAAGTGTCTGTCCATTGCCCTTCAAGGCTCACATTTAACTAGGGTCACCATACAAGACAAGTGCTGGAAACTGACCGCTACTCCAGAAATAACTCCTCTTACTGTGGTTGCTTTCTCTCTGTGGTCTTTACTGTCTCGTCATTCATGCCACAGCTGAGAAGGTCTGCTCTCTCGTCTCTGAGATCTGGGGAGCATCTGTGAGCAGGGACGTGCAAAGACAGCAGTCCCTCCACTATGCTAAAGAAGGCCTCTGCACCATTCACGGTGAATCAACTCTCTGGTGACCCCTTGGTCGTGCTACTTTTCCCTGGCCCCTCTGTCACCGTTGATCCCCCCTCTCTTCCTGAGGGTTCCTCCTCCCTAGTCCCCAAGCAGCAGTGCCTCCTAAGTCTCCCCAAGGTAATTTCCCCCCCGGGCAGCAATCATTGTTCAGAATCTCTAGCCAAAGCTCCGGATTGTGTTTCAGATTCCTTTCCCTTGAGTCCTACTGTGTGCTTATTTGATCATCAATCTGTTCCCAAGGCCATGAGTGAGTGGCGTGGTGCCTCCTAGTTTTCCTTAGGTTGCATTTGCCCCCGGTGTCAGAGGGCCTTAAGGGACTGGTTCGAACCGTGGGAAACTCAAGCCCTACTCACACCCTAAGGAGAAGCATGAAGGATTTGAATTCCCCTAACATTATGTCCTTGAGTACTTGTGCAATGTCGGCGTGCTCCTGCCTCCCGTGTACTCCCGTAACGGAAATACGTGTGCAAGTTCTCAGCTATCCAGACACTCACTCTGCACTGGGATGTACTGAGTATCCAACCTTTCAGCTCCCACTGTGTGGATTATTCCGCCTGTCTTCTGTACCTGCATCCTGCAGGCATTCATTTCTCAACTACTCTCCTTTTGCTCCCCCTCCTTCACCTCTAGGCAGAAATCACCCCTATCAGCCTGGGGGGGGGGGGGGGAGGGCAACCCCTACCCTCTTCTCAAGCACCTGCTACTCCGTCTTAGAGCCCTCATTTGCAGGACCCGTCACTCTGAGTCTGACTTTCATTCTCTCGGCTGCAGTGTCAGGGTAATTTAGTTTTTGTGGTTATGGGTTCCCAAATCGTTTCCACAATGTGAGCTTACTTTATTCTCTTATGCTGTCCCCCCATTTATCCAGGGAAATACACCAAGAAATTTTTTAATGGTGGTAAAAGACACATAACATGAAATGGACCATCTTAACCATGTATACGTCCGCATATAGTTCAGTGGTATTAAGAACGTTCGCATTGTTGTGCAGTCTCCAGAAGTCTTTCCATCTTCCAGAACTGAAACTCTACACCCATGAAACAACTTCCCATTCCCCCCACCTCCTCGCCCCTGGCAACTACCCTTCTACTTTCTGCCTCTGTGATCGGACTACTCCAGGTACTTCATAGGAGTGGAATCATACGGTATTTCTCTTTGTGTGACTGGCTTATATCACGGAGCATAATGTCCTCGAGGTTCATCCATGTTGTAGCATGTGTCAGGATTTCCTTCCTTTTTAAGGCTGAATCATGTCTATACCGCATTATGCTTATCCCTTCATCCACCAATGAACACTGGGTCGCTTCCATCTTCTGCTGTTGGGACTGATGCTGTTATGAACATGGGTGTACAAATACCTCTTTAACACTCTGATTTCATTTTGGGGGCGGGGGGGCACATACCCGGAAGTGGAATTGCTGGATTATATGGTAAATCTATTTTTAAATTTTCGAAGACCCGCCATACTGGTTTCCATAGCAGCGGCACCATTTTGCAACCCACAGGGCACAGGTTCTGACATGTCCACATTCTTACCAGCATTAGCTATGTTCTGGGTTTTTCTGATAGTAACCGCCCTAATGGGCATGAGGTGATAGCTCATCGTACTGTGGATCGGCATTTCCTAGTGATTAGTGATGCCGAGCATCTTTTCATGTGCTTATTGGCCTTTGCGTATCCTCTTTGGAGAAATCTCTATTCAAGCCCTTTGCCCACTAGTTTGTTTTTTAGAACTACCTTTCTTTAGAGCCACATGTGTTTACATGCAGAGGTCGTATTTCCTCAGCTAGCTCTCATCGCCCTTATTCTGTCGTATTTTCATCTAAGGCAGGCTGCTTCCAGCCTCCAGATCATATCCCCCAGCCCACGCCTTCCTTGCCCTCTGCCCAAACACTAAAGGTCAGTTTCCATGCAGAAAAAATAACTTACAGATGGAGGACAGATGAAGACCATGTGTCTCCTGGTGAGAGCCTGAGATCTGGAGACAGTCTTAACTCCTCGCTCGTGGTCAGCTGCTCACCGGTGGGGTGACTTGTAGCAGAGTCCTTCACTCCAGTCTCTAAATGAAAACAGGGTTTTACCTGCCACGTCAAGGTCACACCAAAATAGATAAAATGAGAAAGAGAGGGAGGGAGGGAGAGAGAATGAAAATTGATCCTAAAAATCTCATCATTAGGAAAAAAAAATTTTTTTTCATTTCTTAAAATTTATCCTGAGGGGCACCTGGGTGGCTCAGTTGGTCGAGCATCCGGCTTCTCCTCAGATCATGATCTCGTGTTTTGTGAGTTCGAGCCCCACCATCAGGCTCTGTGCTGACAGTTTGGAGCCTGGAGCCTGCTTCGGATTCGGATTCTCTGTCACCCTCTCTGCCTACCCCTCCCCCATTCACACTCTGTCTGTCTGCCTGTCTCTCTCTCAAAAATAAACAAACATTTAAAAAAGTTTATTTTGAGAGAGGGCGAGCGCGAGCGGGGGAGGGGCGGGGAGAGAAGAATAGAGAGAACCCCAAGCAGATTTGGCTGTCAGGTCAGAGCCCAAAGCTGGCTCAAACTCACGAAACTTGAGATCCTGACCCGAGCCAAAATCAAGAGTCTGACGCTCAACTCACTGAGCCCCCCAGGCGCCCCACATTGGGAAAACATTTTAAGGATGATTTGGAAAAATACCTGTCCCTCTCTCCCTACTCCAAGTGCTTAATGAACACGCTTCCTTAACATGTTAAGAGTCTTGGCAAAGTTTGAGAATGCTGCTCTAGAAAGGTTAGATGGTTTTATCATTGTAGTTATTATTTTTGCAAAGCAACATGTGTGAGCAGATGTGGTTAGGGGCTAACAAATCTGATTCTCATGAGCAAAATGGCAGTCTGTGGCTTCCTCCTGCCCACTCTCCCATGATATCTGCCCACAGCCTCTCTGGGGGGAGGATGTTTATTTCAAGCGTCCAGAGAAGCATTGTGCTTTGTTCAGGATCCACCTGCTCCTCTCCAGGCTCAAACACAATTCACTGATGCTGTTGGATTCCAGAGTGGGAGGCTGGCCACTGTTATTCCCTTGAATTTAGTCCAAGAAACTAAGCGAAGGGTGGAGGGACCCTGTGTGGAAGCCAGACCAGTTGGAACTTTAAGCTGAACAACAGTTCACTGGGTTCTTCTGTTTGTTTGGTGCTACGTTTAGTGTCCTTTGGGTTCAAAATTATGTAACGTACGCCCATTCTCCCCATTAAGGAGTTGTACTGTCTAGTCAGAGAGAAATGGCAATGACAGTAAGGCAGAAGATGATCAGACACCGAAGTGTGGGTTCTAAGGGCTACGGTATATGGTATATTACTATCATTGATGGTAACAATACCAGCTGCCCTTTGTCAAGTGCGCGTTGGGTTCCACACACTTTGTTGGGGGCTCTTTATACAACACCGCTTTAGTCACAGCTCAGTCTTCGACTGAGGAACCTCACGCTCAGACTAGTTGTATGTCTTGCAAAGACTCTAGTCAATCGCAGAGGCAAGATTGATGCCGGGTCTATGGGAGATAGGGCCAGTCTCACTGGGGAGCTGGGGTTTGAGTTGAGGCTTGAAGGATGGGATTTCCAAGGAAGAGGGCCATGTTCTTCCTTTTCATATAGGCAGGGCTGTGAAGGTCACAGGCTCTCACACACTTGGGCTCCCCATAATGGCACCCTCAATCTGAAGGCCTTTCCTGACCAGCTTTCCCTGCACACATTCTCCCCATTCTTCAAGGCTTACTTTGAGGTGTTTCTGATAACCCCCAACCTGATGTATGCTCACCCTCCTTTGAATGTCCATAGAACTTTAGCTGTACCTTCCTCGTGGTACTTACCGTGTAACTAGCTCTGTCACTTGTGTCTTTGTGCCTCAGTTTCTTCATCTCTAAAATGGGGAGAATAATAACACCCATCTTGAAGGGTTGTACAAGGTCTAAATGAGTCACTATATGTAAAGCACTTGGCACAGTGCCTGAGACGTAGTGACCATCATTTGTTTTCATTGCCATGCATGCAAACTAAGAGCTTTGGCTATGTGGAATTCATAGCTACCCCCCCCCTCCATGATACATGTGCAGAGATTTGCACACAGTGTCTTCCATTCAGGGCTTGGTAAATGTCAGAAGAGCTGAATATGGTTAAGGTGCAGCTTCTTAGGACTCTGCAGGTTGAGGACGTGCCATTTTGTGTGGTTTGTTTAGATTGTGCAGGAGCCCTGTCCCTCTGCCTCTCTCAGGAGAGATAGATTTCAACCAGAGACGCTCCAGGAGGCCAGAGTTGTCCAGGCGGGGACTTCCCTCCTCCTCATCCAGAAGGCATGGTGTTTGGGAGGGTGCTCCCAGGGAAGCAACGTAAGGCTCCCAAAGAGAAAGGGGCCTAGAGAAGAAAGACACTGCTGATCATATCCAGTGGTATCCAGAATGCCCACAGCAAATGCTGTTTTCAAGAGCCAGATTTTTCCAGAGACAGAGCCTCTATCCAAGTACTTCCTCGGAGACCTTTGCTTTGCTTTGCTTTTTAAATGCTTATTTATTTTTGAGAACGAGAGAGACAGAGTGTGAGTGGGGGGCAGGGCAAAGAGAGAGGGAGACCCAGAATCCGAAGCAGGCTCCAGGCTCTGAGCTGTCAGCACAGAGCCCAACGTGGGCTCGAACTCACAAACTGTGAGATCATGACCTGAGCAGAAGTCGGACTCTTAACCGACTGAGCCACCCAGTAGGCCCCCTTAGAGACCTTTTCTTGACAGTTGAAGCAGCAGTGCCCTGAGAGTGCATTTTTCTGTGCCCTTGGTTCTTGAGGGGCTTCTGAGGCTACCTCTGAACTCCTGTCTCTGTGACCTGAAGGTTAGCTAGCCCTGCTCTTCTGGCCTCCTCCAAGCCCACTGAGTTCCACCCAGCTCCCTTCAAGTCCAGCTGATAGAAGAAAGCTGGGGCCTGAGGCCAACCCTGACCTTGCCGTGTGCAGAAGCAAAGGATCCTGGGTTTTCCTGCCGTGGGCCACAGCAGTAGGAAAATACCCAGGCTGCTTTCCAAGCTGGGAGGCCCACAAGGAGCAGTCCTGCCCCACAAACAGGAAGCTGTCTCCTCCACGGAGGCTCAGTTCGGATGCCCCTCACACGCCCCAGCAGTTTTCCCCGAACAGGAAAGTTGTCGGAGCCGTTCAGGCATTTCCTCCTCACCATCTGCCATCCGGACAGAGGAGAGAGTCTTGGTTTCGGTTCCTTTCCTGTGCAGGGGAGGCCGCTCTGATTGGAAGCTGCTGGAACACATCCTGGGAGGTGTGAGAACAGGGTGTTGGAAGGGCACAGCCAGTGTTTCCAATTCATCTCTGTCCCAGGACTCAACTGGCAAAGAATCATGAGAGCTTATCTCCTGGGGCCAAGTTCCTGAGTCCTAGGGACCAGACAGCAACTGGAACCATCTGTGGACCTCATGTAAAACTGGCTTCCATGCTTTTAGTGGGGAAAGCATGGTGGGCTTCCCCACTTTGGTGTTTTCAAAAACACCATGTCAGTTTCAACCATGCTCCTCGTGAGCCCCGTTGGGGGGGTAAGATGGAAGGGCCCAAGGATGCCACTGGGTCTATAGCCATAGACTTGTTCTCTACTCCCTTCCCTTGGCTTTTCCTCCAACACTTGGGGCTTTTATAATCTTGAAACAAAGGATTTTCTCTCCATCAGTAATACACTATTCATATTTGCTGTTTGAATTTAATTTGAAATAGTGTAGGTGTCCATGGGCAATCCTTAAATAAGACAGTGTTTCCTGAATTTCTGCTCCGGTCCTCTTACAGCCCCACCTAGGACACTGATAGATGTTTCGGGACAGGGCAATTTTTGAGTTTTTTTCTTATTGTGTTTTGGCACATCTGTAGTTCACCGGATTTTTTTTTTTTCCCAGTTAAATTTTTTAGGAAGAAAGGATCCTTCTTGTTTAGAGAGTCATAGTGTGACTTTCATCAGGATTACTACCTGAGACTCTGGATGCAGCTCAGGGTATATGAATAATTTCGTCTTCTGTTCCCCATTTCTCTCTATGTTGCCAGGAGGAATTTAAGAAGGATAATGGAGAGGAACTGACTCAAGTCCTGTGTGAGAAGGGGCAGGCTGACACTGTGGCTGGCATGTGTTCCCTGCTCCTGGCCCAGTCTGAAGCGAAGCCTCACTGCCTACTGCTGCTCTTGGCCAACAGGACAGGTAAGGGGTGCATCTGTCTTGGGGTCTAGGGAGGGAGTGGGGCTGAGGTTAGACAATCCTGGGTAGAAATCTGGTATCTTAGCTCAAAGAGCACAGGTGCTGGGGAGAAGAGCCAGGCTGACTTTGGGAGATGGAGCACCCTGGGCATCAGAGCATCATCTAGAACATCACAGGAGGGCACAGGAGGATGAGCTCTTCCTGCTTCTAGATTCAGCAATCCCTGTTTCTCATTCTAGAACTTTCCAGTAAGCTCCGTCTTCTGAAAAAGCACCAGCCTGACCTGAAAAGGGTAAGTTCTCTAAGGTGATGGGAATTCTCAAAGGGAAAATTGGGTCAGGGGAGTCACTGGAGTGGAAGAGAAAGTACTTATCTTTTCTAGACGTGTCCTTCCTACTTCTCTGCCCTTCTCCAACAGTCCTTACCTGTCTGAGCTTGAACCAAAATTTTATGGTTTTAAAAGATGTCAGTCTTAAGTCCTCTTTAGAAAAATCCCTGAGGTCCAAGACTTCCTGTGTTCATCCGCTGTTGGGTCTAGCGTGGGCTGGGCTTCTCTTCTAGAACTCACATCCCACAGGTGACAGGCTGTCTTTTCTGTCTTCCCTTCAAGCTTGGGATCAAAGCCTTCTCTGAACAAGATGTTGGGAGCCACCAGGTCTATTCCCGCAAGACCCTGATTGCCCTGGTCACCTCAGGGATCCTACTGGCTGTCTTGGGCACCACTGGCTATTTCCTGATGAAGCGCCGCAGTTGGAGCCCCACAGGAGAAAGGCTGGTCAGTTTGGGGGTCCAGGGCAAAGAAAATGAGGAAGATAGTGGTCTTCTGGGGAGGTCCATAAATGTCCTGGAGAGGGGAGGAGACATACCAGAAAAGGTACTTCCGTGCTTTTACACATGGACGTGCAGAATACACATTACCATGTCCATGGACAAGTCTGAATAATATATAGCAGATTGGAAAGGAGGCACTAACTGGGGCCAGCCCACCTGCTCACTGTGGCAGCAGATGGCTCATGTCATCCGTTTATGATTTTGCCCGGGATAGTTCAGCTGGGTATACCAGAACAGGCTGCTAAATCAATCACACTTATTGACATGTATATTAAATGTCCGTGGGTGCCACTTAGCTCACCAGAAGGGCCCTTATGGAAGGAAAATCTACTGTTGGAGTGTTCTGGATGAGGGAGGACAAGGCTGGGGTTTGACTCTTGGCTTCTGGCCTGCTACCCACTCTGGGGAGGGCATTCCATCCTGGGAACTGCCTGGTGTCTGGCGGGAGCTGGTTATGGAGCTGCGGTGGCACGGTGTTGTGCCTCTCCTCTGTCCTTTCTCCTCTAGGAGCTGGAACCCTGACTGCTCTTCAGGAAGAAAGGAGTCTGCACATGCAGCTGCAACCCCCTTCTCTCCCTCCCACCTCATCTCCCCCCACCCCTGCCTCACTCCCCTGCTTACCAGATAATGCTCCTTTATTTATACACTGTCTAGGGCGAAGACCCTTATTACACGGAGAACGGTGGAGGCCAGGGCTATAGCTCAGGCCCTGGGGCCTCCCCTGAGGCTCAGGGAAAGGCCAGTGTGAACCGAGGGGCTCAGGAGAACGGGACCGGCCAGGCCACATCCAGAAACGGCCATTCAGCAAGACAACACGTGGTGGCTGATACCGAATTGTGACTCGGCTGGGTGGGGCAAGGCTGGGCAGTGTCTGGGGAAGGGGCCCCTCCCTGCATCTGACCACATGCTGCCTCCACGCTGGAGGCACCATCGATTGCATTCTACTCTTTCCTGCTGCACACATCCTCGGAGGCTGTTCCTGGGGCCCGGTACTGCACCTGCCCGAAGGGTTCTCTCCACCTTGGTGGAGGGGAGATAACCCCTGCCATTTACATGTTCAGCTCGCTAAGCCCAGAATTGGGTCGACTCTGAGTAAAGGTGTGGGGGGAGGGGAGGCCAAAGTGCAGAGAAGCTACCAGGGTTGGGGGGTGGGAGGTGATGATCTTGCATCACTCACACGTGGGCTTCTGTCCTCTCCCTCCTCTCTGCCATATTAAAGGAACTCCCAGGGGAAGCATGGGCCTTTTCTGGGCTACAATTTCCTCCCAGGAGGCTTTGCCTTGTCCTGTTTCTTCCTCAGATCTGTCTTCTCTACATCAGGAAACCAAAGCAACCCAGTGCGCCTGCTCCCTTGTAATGATGCAGCCATAAAGACTTGTTATCCTAAACCGTCCCCCTTATGCCCTGGCCAAGGCACTGTGGATTCAGGCACCGGCTTCCCTCATGCTTTCCGGTTTCCCCTGAGCTTCACACCTCCCTCCACATCTGCATACAGAAGCCTGCTACGTTTTCTGGCTGAGCCTGGAACGAGGCTCCAAGTTTTGAACAACGTCTTGTGTGTGTGTTTGGGAGACAGGGTTAGGGGACATGGGTCCATGCATTCCTTCCTGTGGGGGCAAGTGGGAGAGAGCGAACGGCTCAGTCCTTGTCTCTCTGGGGCTCATGGAGCCTCATCTTGAGCCTCTGTTTCTCCCTGTGGGTCAGAGTGGACAGGATCATGGGACCAGACCTTTGAGCCAAGCCTCTTGACTTGTGCATCTCTGAGGAAGCGCCTTGCTCAGAGGCTAGGTTCTGGCCTTATCCTCTGATCTCAATGGCTTCTTCCTTCCTCCCCCTGACTCCTGGGTTGAGCTGTGGACTCAGTCTCCCAGCAGACTCCTTTTGATCTCTGTCTCCCTCACTCCAATCCCCTCACTGCTCTGCACCTCCATGTAGTCAGGGCCCCTTGACATCTCCAGAGAACCTTCACCACAAGCCACCTCCTCTGTAGGTGACCCAGGTTCTCATTTGCATTTTTCGGTTTTTTTCCAGAGGGGTAAGCAGGGATCCTGGTTTCAGTGACGGTTGGAAATCGAATTTTCCAGAGAGAGGAAGGTTGGGTGGGTTTTATTTCTGAATAAAAGAATGGTGTGTGTAAATACTGTAATTAAAGTGATACTGAAACACATCTGTTCTGTGTCACTGTCCCAGCCAGTTGTGTCTGAATGACCCAGCGGTCTCCCCGCCAGACCTCAGACCTGGCCAGACTGTGCAGTGATACGGTGGAGAGGGGCTAGCCAGGAAAGAGGTGGGCCCATCATGGGGACACAGGTAAAACCCAGGGTGCTGCCCTTTGGCCAAGTCTCCCTCTCTGGGGGAAGCTCACAGGAAATCTGGATGCGTCTAGTCACAGAAAGACAGACCAGGATGCAGCAGGGGCCGTGAGGATAGAGGGTGGTGTGCCAAGGACATAGGCGCTGGAGGCCTCGTGGCCTTTCTGAGAAGTGGCACGTTTGGGTCACCGTATGCAGAATATGCATAACCGGGCGAAGGAGCCCCATGCACGCCTTACTGCCACACCACGTCCTGCCCGGAGCTGGGAGCAGAACGGTGAAGGTTGGGGCGGGCAACTTCTGGCTGCCAGCTCCGGGAGGGAGTGGTTTCTATCTTCAGTGTGAAGACACCAGCCTAACTGCCAAAAACGTCCGTAAGTGCACCCCCAGCTCCCAGGCCCCCCACCCCCACCATAGGAAGTGGGGGAGGGACCGCTGCCAAACACTGCCCAGGAGCTTCAGGAAACGCTCCTGAGTGTATCAACAGTAGCAGAGGCAGTTGGGGCCAAACAAAGGATCCTTCCCTTCTTATCTGGCCAAAGCCAGACCTTTCCCTTTAGCACTCCCCCACCCCCTCTTCCCCCTTGCTTTTCTCCAACTGCTGGAACCAGAGGTTCCTCTGCAGGACTCAGGGAAAAGGAGGTGGGGCGGGGAGGGGGGGTGGGAAACAAGGGATGAGATCTAGAGCTTTCCCTAGGAGGTGATGGCTGATTCTGGGAAGGGGTGGAGGAAAGGGAAGACGGTAATCTGGGAAGAGAAGGCAGATCGGCCTCCATCTAGTTACATCGTGCCATGAGAGCGACCAGATGAGGGTCTGGCAGGTTGAAGATGGCAGGGAGACAGTGTGCCGTCTCCTGGGAAACATGAGAGAAGAAAAGGCACCTGGACTTTTTGAAACAGGTTTAGCCTCAGGCCCAGCAACTTACAGTAGTATTTTGCCCTGAGTCTGTCAGCCAATGTAGGCTTTGAGAGGTAGAGGGCTGTGTGTGTGTGTGTGTGTGTGTGTATTTAGGGGGTTGCTTTGCGGCTGGTTCTCTTTGGTGGCTGGACAGCATGCCCAGAAGGATTCATTGCATTCTTAAAACCTCAGACTTCCCACCTTTGGCCTGAACACCCTGGTGCGGCAATGGCTCCACCTGCTGGCCATGATGGGCACCTACCACTCAGCTGTTCATTTGTTTCCATGGTGGGGTTCTCTCCTGGCTGCTCTACCCTTAAACAGCCTAGTCCGGTAGATCTCGTATATGAAGCTCATAGAACTATAAGAGGTCACTGCTGAAGACGACTTTACAGATGCGTTCAACTTAACTCCCCTATGTCAAGTTAAAGACAAAATAAGGCCCAGAGAGGAAGGGTAGCTTGCCCAGATCCCCTGGAATTCAGATGTCCTGAATCCGAAGCTCTTCCCTTCATCCTACCATCCCACTGTTCCACCAGGGCTTCAAGGTTCCTCCACTTGGATGTCATGAAGCTGGCAAGGGCCAGTCTCAGGATAGGTCTGGGGCTTCTAGAGTCTTTCATCAACAGGTGCTGTTCCAGGCCTGGCCAGCCAAGCAGGTCCCGGGGCCTTGAGACAAAGGAGAGACTGAAGAGCCCAGGAAACTGTGAGGCACAGCTCCCCCTGCTGTGCCCACAGTCAGCCCCAGAGAATGAACTCGAGTATTACATAGTCTGTTGTGGAAAGCGTGCCCAGAAGTGTCTTCTCCCGGTCGCACCTAAGTGGATAAGTCGGATTGTCTTCTAGGTGTGGACACATGGGTCATCCGCATTGCATCCCCTCTAGGTAGGTCAACCAAACCCAGTAGCAAGCAAGCAATCCTGTGCAACAGGATGCTGCTTCTGTCCGTGAAGACCCCATCCAACGAGTTCACAGTCAGCATTCAGTCATTCTGGAAGTGTCATGGAGCACCTGCTATGTACCCACGCTGTGCCAGTGGCTGGGGATAGAGCAGTGAACAGATCCTTATGGAGCTTCCAATTCTGGTGGAGAAGAAAGACGATAAGCAAACATATTTCTCTAAGCAACTAAAGACATACGTTTTCAGGTTGTATCAAGAGCCATAAAATAAAATGATGGAGAGTGACGGCTGATACTTTGCACGTATGGTGGATACTCCCAAGGAGGGGAGAATTGAGAGCGTAGCTCACCTGAATGGAGCGAGGGGGAGATCACGCCACGCAGGGGAAATGGCAAATTCAAAGCTCTGTGGGGCAAACCTTGGCAAGTTCGAGAAGCCGCAGATAAGCGAGGGCAAGAAGGCCACTGAGGCTGCGTCAGAGTGAGAGCAAGCAAGATCCGCAGGCCAGACCACATCAGGCCTCTTGGGCCTCAGTAAGGAGTCTGGATTTTATCCGGAGATCAGGAAACCACTGGGGGGTTTTGAGCAGAGAAGTAACGATGATCTGGTTTATGCTTTTCAAGGATCAAGCTGGTCGCTGAGTAGAGAATGGGGGTAGAGAGGCAAGAGGGTGGAAGGGAGGAGGGCAGGTGGGGGATAACCACCGAATCCAGAGGAACGATCGCGGCTGGGAGCAGGGTGAGAACAGCGGAAACAAAGTAGAATTCCAAAGAGGTCTTGAAGGTCCAGCTAACAGGACTTGTCACCTCCGTGGAGTCCTTCAAATAACAAATTTTAAATAGTGTATTTTATTTAATATTCACATCCCGGAAAACAAAACTGAGTTTTCAGGGGGCTGTGCTCGACGCTCAGCGGGCAGAAGCAAAGATGAGTAAGCTGTGAATTTATTTGAACCCACAGATGTTTCAGTCTTGAAAACAATACTGTAAATGCATTAAAACAAACAAAAACAACAAAATGCAAAGCAGCCGGTGAGAAAGAACACAAGGAAAGAGTGAGTGAAGTATTGTGTATCCAGGGGCGGGCAGACTCCTTCCGGCAGGGAGAGAGACTGAGGACGGTGGGTCCTGGGAAGATGGCACCTGAGTGGGGTGGTAAAAATAGATACAATTTTGGTAGCAGAAATGGGTGAGGACCTTCGAGGCTAGTAGAAGGGCATCCATAGGTACCTGCAGAGATAGGCGTGTGGGGAAGTAAAAGGTCCTTTCAAAACACTGTGTTTCCCAGTACAGCAGACAAGTTGGAGGTATTAAGGGAAGCCAAGTATCAAAAAGGTGTGTGTCATTGAATGCCAGGCCACAGAGCTTAATCATATTTATTGGAAGAGAGTACCACGGAAAAGTTCCCATGTATTCATCGATCTATTCATCTATTCGACAAACCTTTTTATTTATTTATTTATTTATTTATTTATTTATTTATTTTTGAGTGCTTATTACAAACCAGGTACTATGCCAGGCACCTAGGATAAGACACAGTCTCTTCTGTCAAAGTCTTCTCACTGGCGGACATGGGAGGGACAGATGACAGAACAATTCGTGCTGAACCTAAGTGATACGGTGAAGGACGCTTTGAGTGGAAGGGGCATGGAAACCATGGAAGGCTTCCCAGAAGAGGTGACATCTGGGACAACTTAGTTTTAAAAGAAGACTCTAGAGATCAGTGTTCCAGGAAGAGGAAGGAGCCTTGGCCCAGGTGCAAAGTGAGGATGGTCATTCCAGAAATAACAAGGGGTTCTTTTAAGGCCCAATCAGAGAACACGATTCTTCTTTGTATCTTCTATTTCTGTGTGGAGACTTTCTATTTGTTCTTTTATTTCAAGCATGTTATAATTGCTCATTGAAGCATTTTTATGATAGATGTTTTAAAATCCTTGTCAGATAATTCTAAACTCTCTGTCATCTCAGTATCAGCGTCTGTTAATTACCTTTTCTCCTTCAAGTTGAGATTTCTGGTCCTTGGTATCACAAGTGATCTCAAGTTGTATCCTGGACGTTTTGGGTACTATGTTACAAAACTCCAGATCTTATTTCAGTGTCCTGTTTGGTGCTGGTCTGGTGGGGGGGATTCCTCCTTACCAGGCAGGGGCGGAAGTCCCAGCCCTCCATTCAGCTGTTGACGCCTGTTGGGGTGGGCGCCCCATTCCTGTTGGATAGAATGGAAGTTCAGGCCCCCTATTATCCCTGTGTTGATACTACCCTGGTGACATGTCATTCTAGGAGTCCCAAGGGCCCCAGCCTTCATCAGTTTACCTTTCAGAGTCTTCTTAGGTTTTCTTTTTTTTTTTTTTTTTTTTTTAACATTTATTCATTTTTGAGAGACAGAGCGCCACTGGGGGAGGGGCAGAGAGAGAGGGTGACACGGAATCCGAAGCGGGCTCCAGGCTCGGAGCTGTCAGCACAGAGCCCGATGCGGGGCTCGAACTCACGAACCGCGAGATCATGACCTGAGCTGGAGTCGGACGCTTCACCGACTGAGCCACCAGGTGCCCCACTTCTTATGTTTTCTATACACCATCCAGAATTTTTAGAAGCGCTTAGCCAGAGGAATAGGAAGCGGTACGTCCACTTTCATCTTGTCTGGAACTGGAAGTTCGTGCCAAAAATATGAAGAAGTCAATCACTGGCCATGAGGCCTGTGTGGTAGGGAGGTTGTAGATGAGCTTCTCAGAGCCCTCTTACCCCCTTAAAAGTTCTTGAGGACTCCAAAAAGCTTTGGATTTTGAGCATTACATCTATCAATAATCACTGTACCAGAAGCTAAAACCGGGAAATTTTGAAATTATTCAGTAATTCATTTAAAAGTGGTAATTTTCTCATTGTGTGAGTATATAAGTAACCTACATTTTAATGAAATATAATGCATTTTCAAAAATAAAAGCACTTCGGGAGAAGAGGGGCACTGTTTTGCATTTTGGCACCTCTCTTCTATATCTGGCTTAAGAGAAGCCTCCTGATTCTCTTTCATGTTTCTGTATTCAATATGTTGTCATATTA